ACCATTTTTGGAAATCAAACATTTTTGAATATTTCTGTGTTGATTCATCAAGTTCAATGAACGACTTGGCTGATATTATTCTCAAAGGTGGCCGGGGGAATAAACTGAACCCTATAAAAGGAATCTCATATAGACAATTTTTGCCTGCAGCAAGAGAGGTAAATTTTGATAATTAAATATATATATATATATATATATATATATATATATTTATATTTATATATAAAAATGAATCACAAAATGTGTTGGTAAGCGCATAACTAAACAACTCCTGGACCAATTTGGCCAATTCTTTTTTTAAATGTTCATTGTAGTTCAAGGATGGTTCTTCCGTGAGAAAAAATTGAATAATTGCCGAAAACCCATAAAAACAGATTTTTTTTTCACATATAAACGTTTTCTAACTAAAAAATGTAGAATCAATTTGAGCTTTATTTTTTCAATTTATTTCTACCATATTACTATAATTTATATCACATACATCCTAAAAAATTTCTTAACAAGCTTCAGAAAGATTTATCAAAATTCTTATAATAGTTTAGGAGGAGTATATCTACATACATACATCATTACAGAAAAATTCTATATATAAGATATGTAATAAAAAGAGCATCAATTTTTTAATTCACATGTATTTAAAATATTAATAAATTCAAAAACAAATACCATTTCCAGAATGGTGTTCACACAAACTGTGATGCAACTGTAATTATTTTATATTTTTACAATAAATTCAGCTATATATTATTTCTTTCAAGTCGGCTTCCTTCTGAAGATTCCCTGTCGACTTTATTGCACATTTCTATTTAATAGATCATTTATAACAACAAATAAAATACATACTATATTATACTTTATGAGATTTCATCATATGTCTTTTAACATATATTTCTTTAGTGAATGTTTTATCACAGATACACATTTACAGGGACGAACTTTTTGATGGGCATTTGATGCATTTTAACATCAGATATGCTCTTTTGAATAATTTATCGCAGAATTCGCACTTGAAAGGCTTTTCATCAGAATGTACTAACATGTGTGTTTTTAGATTTGCATCAGCACTAAATGATTTATTGCATATTTGGCAAGAATAAGGTTTTTCTCCTGTATGAACTATTAAATGTTTTTTTAAGATTGAGGCTTCGTCGTGAAGCCTTTATTGCATATGCCGCATTCAACACTTTTTCTTTTGTGTGTCTTGAAATATGTCGACCTAAATTATGTTTTTTCAAAGACTCACTTTAGAACATATGTGGCATTTATATTCTTTTGGTTCATGCACTTCTTTTTCTAAGTGGTTTTTATAAGCCGCTACAATTTATAAACTTTACCACATTTTTCACAAATATACTCCTCTTTTTTTTCTCGTAATTGTACTTATCAGTATCGTGTTCTTCCAAGTGCTTCTTTAAATGTGAATGTCTATGAAATGCTCTGTGGCACCTGTCGCATTCATAATCTCTCACACTCCTGTGCGTAAGCATATGTTCTTTTAAATTACCATTACTAACAAATGTTTTACCACACTCTTCACATTTATACGCTCGATGTCCGGTATGTAATAAAAAGTGCCTTTTCAAATGACTCGATTGATTGAAAGTCTTTTCACAAAGTGTGCATTATGAGGGCCTTCAGACTTCATACTGGTGAGTCAATGTGCTCTCGTAAATGAGAGGTAATTTAAAGGCTTTTTTCACATATGTGACATTTATGAGGCCTGTAGTTCGTATGCGTTAGCATATGTATTTTGATGGAATAATTTGATTTAAAGGTTTTGCCACATGTATTACAAGTATTAGATTTATTACTGTAGTATAATCTGGAATCATGGCTTTCATATTCCATTGGTACATTGTTGGAGTTATCATCTGTAGTACTTTCGTAGTCATAAGCTTCTTGTTTTATTTTGCGCATTCGGATAAAACATATCATTACTGATAGATGATGAATTTGTTAGATCAAACCTTTCGTATTCGGGGTCTATTATTTCAGATTTACATTGCACTTCGTTTTCTTCAAAATCATTTGCTTCTGTTTTAACTTTTGGCACGTAAGTGGAATCTTTAGCATAAGGTTCGGTTTTAATTTGGACATTGTTGGTATATGTTGTTCTTTCTGAATTATTGTTGGTTAAATTTAGAGCAAATATTTGTTCTGCATAGGGACCAGTAAAGTTATTCATTCTTAATAAATTATTGATCAATTAACAATGATATTCTTTTTGTTTATTGGAGCACTAACTCACAACCTGAAATAAATTTAAAAGGTGATAAAATAAATCACATTTCATTTCAAATCAATTATTTATCAAAAATGTTGTGCTAATAGAATTTAATTAATTATATATATCTCTAGATACAATGAATATATAGAAATAAATTAGAAATTATGTGATAATACAGATTACATATTAATGTAATTGTAGAAATTTGCCTAAACTCCACAAAAAATAATCAAGGCAAAAACTTTTACACATGATTTAAATTTGAGCAGTAAATAGAAGCGAAATATATTCCATACAGTATAAATATACATAACATACCTTTTTTAAATATTAATATTCATTCTTATTCCAATTAATTCCTGTCAACTTTGTTGATATAACCTTATGTTATTTACACAATTATTCATACATGCAAATTGTACACTATCATTTCTTTATATATATTTTTTAATTTATTTTCTGTTTATTGTTTATGTATTTTAATCCTTTTTTATTGATATAATTATTTATAATATGATTTGTTGCAATGTTTTCTTTTACATTTTTATTTAATGACATTTGACATTTGTCTAGTGTTGACCGATGACAATTTTTTTTCCGTGGTATTTCGTCAAAAACGAAAATCAACGAGGTCAAACGATGTGTTTAAAATGGAGGTTTGAAGTTTGTAAAATTGTGCAACGATTAATTTAATTAAATGTTACTCAATAACTGTATAAGTTGTTATAGTATAATGTTTGAAACAAGATATATAATGTTAAAGCTTTTAGTATCGGAAAGAATTCAATTTCGGTAAGAATTTGACATCAACATCTAACAATTAAATTTAAATAATTTTTTGTATAATTGATTGTAGACTTTTTCTGACGATTTTAACGAAAATTTTCATGCAATTTAATTATAAAATACATTAAATGAAATAATGGCGTGATATTTTTTAACATTTTTTATACCCAACTAGCAAACCCGACGAACTCCGTTTCGCCACCGATGGTTTCGTGAGAAAGATGAAGATGAAAGAAATTTTTTGTTTGCTTTATATTTGAAAAGGAAAAATTTGATTTTATTATACAACAGTAATGATTTTATTTCGATTACAAAAATTAAGTGTTTTTTTAGTTGAACTTCTCTAAGTAAGTGAAAGTGAATCCGCAAATTATCCGTTCATTGAAGTGCTCTTTGGTCAACCACATTTTTTGTTTTTTGGTCTGACGTTAACACTAACAAAGCGGATGGTTTTCCAACTCGTGAACAGCAACGTATACTGCCCATGTGAAAAACAATGATTTTCAAATAGTCTATTTTAAATTTATCCCGCAAACACTAAGCGATTGGTCTTGCGATTTGTTATTGCGAACGCAAGGCGAACTGGAAATTGCAATCGTTTGAAGTCAAACGGAAGACCAGTCGGAATCATTGGTATGTCACCAAATCGCCAGCATTTTTTAATTGAATGGTGAAATTTAGTGCGTGTACATCATTATTCTTTGCGGCCAGAAGTGCTCGTTGACTTAACCAAGCATAATTCTGATAATTCTCACTAATGTCATTACTCTCATTTTTTAATTACGGTGCGTGAAGTTCCAGCAGCTTGCATTAAGGCACGATGCCATGCACAACTAATTTTCTTAGCTATAAACCTTGCGGAGCCCGAGACCTTTCCAACGAATGCAAAATTGTCGAAATCGGTTCGTGCGTTCTGGAGTTATTTCGTCAGGAAGGAAAACCCGACTTATTTTTATATATATAGAAGATGAGTATTCGAAGTCACAATTTTTAACTTCCCGTAGGGTAAGTTATGTAATGGGCCGAAAATCGGAATTGAAAATTTTTACATTTCTCGACGTTTTGAAGGTTTCTGAACGTTTTGGCATACCTCAGAAAAAATGGATGTGTGTGTGTGTGTGTGTGTGTGTGTGTGTGTGTGTGTATGTATGTATGGATACAAATTTTCGTCCACGTTTTCGGGCGTACGGATCAACCGATTTGAATGGTTTAAAAAACATTCGATTCCTATTAATAAGGAGAAGAGCTGATTAGTTTTTGGCAAAAACAGGTCCAGCAGTTACGGAGATAAGGAGCAAAGAGTGCAGAAAATAGAAATCGAGTTTTTGAGAGAACGGAGCATCCGATTTGAATGATCTAAAAACATTCCATTAGTAATGATTGGGAGAAAGGGTTATTAGTTTCGCGCAAAGGCAGGCCCAGCCATTTCGGAGATACAGAGCTAAATGTACAAAAAATGGCAGTTTTTGTGAAACTAAACGTCCGATTCAATTGATTCAAAGAACTTTCTGCTTGTCTTAACAAAATAATTGATTTTGGAAAAAAAAAATTGTACCATTTTTTTTTTTTTTTTTTTTTTTAAATTTTTTGTATATCGAAAATAATTCAGATTTTATTTTTAATTCTGACTATAGTTCTAATATACTTTAAACAAATAATTTCAACTCTGCAATTCAGTTTATATAATTATTATAAATATTAGACAATAATACAATATTTATAATAATCTATTTGAAAACATTCAATATTCCTCGAACGTTTCGTTACGGTACGGGAAGTTCCAGCAATTTGCCTTAAGGCACGATGCCACCCACCCCACTAGTTTTTTATTAAGTTGTAATTTCATAAATTTGTGTTCAATGCCATTTTGCAAAAAGACAAGATTTAGTATTAGTGATCGAGAGACTGATGAATAAGTTAACAATCTATATTCCCCAATTATTCAATTCTAATTATGTATTGTCTATTTTTCAGATCAGATACGATATAGTCCTATGTGCCTACACCCTTTTTGAAATGTCGACACCAGAATTGCGTTTGGAGAAACTGGTAAAATTGTGGAACAAAACTGAACAATTTTTAGTTATCGTAGAAATGGGAACGAATGCTGGATTTAGATTGATTTCTGAAGCACGAGACTTTCTGTTGCAATATGATGCAGAAATATTCGCCCCGGTAATAATATTAATAATCATTTGTAACAAAACATTTTCAACAGTAAGTGAGGGGGCAATTCTGCTGTAACATAGCTCATAAAGTAGCGTTGTCATGGCAATGGTCTCTTATGCTTGTTCTTGGTATTGAAAATTATGAAAATGTCTATTCATTTGCTGTGAGATCAGGTGTATTTTATATATAAAAATGTTATGATAATTGAATTCTAGATGGTGCAGTTATCATAACATTATCTTCATTATCCAGCAAAAAAACTGAATTATTATGGTGTTATTTTAAAATATTGTTATTTTTATTAACTTCCCGTAAGGCAAGTTATAGAAATCGCAATAAAATCGAAAGTGAAAATTTTTATATATCCTTTATATTTTTATATCTATATCTTTTATATTTTATATTTTTTATATATCTACGTTTTAGAGGTTTCTGAATATTTTGGCATACCTCAGAAAAAATTGATGTATGTGTGTGTGTATGTGTGTGTATGTGTGCGTGTATGTATGTGTGTGCGGATACAAATTTTCGTCGACGATTTCGGGAACACGAATGAGGCAATTTGAATAATTCAAAAAACATTCGATTCGTATTGATAAGGACACGTGCTGATTAGTTTTTGGCAAAGGCAGGTCTAGCCGTTCCGAAGATATGGGGCAAAAAGTACCAAAAACGGTAACTCTGTTTTTTAAGAGAACGGAGTGTCCGATTTGAATAATTCAAAAAGCATTTTACTTGTATTTACAAGATGAAGAACTGATCAAATTTTCATGAAGGCAGGTTTAGCGGTTTCGGAGATCTTGTAGAAAAAGTAAAAAAAAATGCCATTTGGCGGTCAAAAATGATTATTAGACATGTGCACATCAAATTATCGGATATTTTATAGAGATTTTAACAATAAGTTTAAATTTTGTTTACATTCCTATGGGTTCCGTACCAATGTTTATCCGTTAGACGGCGACGCGGCGCTTACGCGCTTGGATATTTTGTCTCTATGTAGTTAAAGCAGTACAATTGCTTTGAAAAAAAGTTTAGAATTTCCAAAATATTTCAAAATACATTTTTCTTCAAAAGTCTTTTTTTCAAGAAAAATAAATTTTTGTCAAAAATTTATGGTTTCTCAAAAGTCTAATTTTTTCAGAGTATATTTTTTTCAAAATGTTTATCTTTTTAAAAACAAATAATTTTTGGAACGGGAAGTTCCAGCAATTTGCCTTAAGGCACGATGCCATGCGCCCCACTAGTTTTCTATCATTTATTTACATAGTATTTTTAATCTGTATATCATTTATTATTATATCTTTCAGTGTCCGCATTCCAAACCATGTCCACGATTCATGACAGATGAAACTCCATGCAATTTTGAAGTAAAATATTCAACTATACCTCTAGCTGTTGTATCCCAAATCAAAACAGAACGATTCAGTTACATAGTTCTCAGAAAAAAAGCAATCAGCGACTCATCAACAGATGTACTAACTAAAAAAAAATTGAGGCAAAAACTCAATCGCTTCAGTTCTGAAAGAGAAGAATCGATCAGAAATCTTAATATTGACAAGAAAGAAAGTACAAGCGATGAGGTTAATGTGAAAAGTGATGAGGAAGTATATGATGACAAGGGTGATTCTGTTACTTGTACTTGGCCGAGAATAGTTAGGCCCACTTTGGTGAGGTCGAAACACACCGTGTGCAGAATGTGCACTTCTGATGGTCAATTAAAAGAAGTCGTTGTTACTGCTGCTAAACATGGAAAGTAAGTAGAAGGAAGAAATATAAAATATATTGCATGATATAATACATTTATACTTTGTTATATTGTTTTCTACGTATTTTTTATTATTTCTTTGCAGAACGGCTTACCATTGTGTGAGGTCGAGCAAATGGGGTGATTTGTTACCCGTTACTTTAACAGAAGTCGAGGAAAAGTCAAGATTTAGTCATAGTGATAATGAGACTGATGAATAAGCTAACTATCTATATATTAATTATATAAGTTTATAAAATATAAGTTTGATAATATAAACGTATAAGAAATTTGTATTTATATTCAACAATAGAAGATTTAAGGAGGAAGATTTCCAGGTATGTTCATTTTTGAATTGATACTTTTTGAATGATTTATGTTTCAATATATAAATCATCTATTTGTATTGCACTGTTGTGGTTAGACTTTCAAATGAATTTACTATCAGAGTAATTACTGTGAAGGTTTTATTTATTAAATTTATGTGTTTCTTGCTGAATTAAATGAAAAACTAGTGGTGCACTTAAGGCAAATTGCTGGAACTTCCTGTACCGTAATAAAATATTTGAGAAATTTTAAACGTTTTCAAATATATTATTACAAATACTGTAACTTTCTTTATTTTTGCTATCTTGTTATATTTGAGCAAATCAAATGTAAATCATAAATCATAAATCAATTTATCTCCAGAACATTAACAATCGTCATTTCATTTCCAATTCAATTTCTAAAAAATAGTTGCCTAATTTAAACAAAATTGAAAAAGTGCTCCCGTATAGTCACAGTCTAAACGCACTTGCAAATAATTCTGTGCTGCATTTTCACTTATACTGGGCTCAGCTTGGCGGCATTTCCACGTTTTTCAATAGTTTTCACAAAATTGGAAAAGTGTTCCAATTCATAAACAGTCTAAACGCACTTGAGTAAACATTTGTACCAAAGTGGCGCTTAGACTGTGCTTAGCCTGGGTAATTTTTTGAATTTTTAATCCAAAATTACAAAAATATTTTACGGAAAATAAAAAAAGATGTAATAATTTTTTATCCTCAAAAGCAATTGTTTTGTCAATACAAGCAGAAAGTTTTTTAGACCATTCAAATCGGACACTGCCATTTTTTGCACATTTAGCTGTGTATTTTCGAAACGGCAGGACCTGTCTTTGCCAAAAACTAATCATCTCTTCTCCCAAGCATTACAAATTGAATGTTTTTTAGATAATTCAAATCCGGTACTCCGTTCTCTCAAAAACTCGATTTGTATTTTCTGCACTCTTTGCTCCGTATCTCTGAAACTGCTTGACCTGCCTCATCCAAAAAGAAATCACCACGTCTCCTTATTAATAGGAATCGAATGATTTTTGAATAATTCAAATTGCTTGAGAAAACTTCGACGAAAAATTGTATCCGCACATACATACGTACACACACACACAGCCAAAATATTCAGTAAACTCTGAAACCTAAAGATACGCAAAATTTTTGGACGATTACTATAAGTCCCCTTGAGGTTCTCAAATTATCACAAAATGGAATATCAGTTTCATATATTTATTTTATTTGTATATACATTTTATATAACCTATTGTGTTAATATTGTACATTTTGTTGTATCTAATGTATAACATTTCATATTTGATCATTTTATTTATATAAATTTTTATAACAAACTTAAAATCAAGGTAATAAATAACATCTTCATACACATATTCAAACTAAGATTCACTCAGTATCCAATATTCTTAATCCTAAGCCCAGGTGTTCCGCCTCAATCTTATATCTTATCTTTGAGTATTATTAAGTACTAATTTCTTCTATCATTTGTATTTACAAATTTTACTTAAGGAACATATCTTTAATGGGAACTCTATCGAAAACTCTTGCTGCGATTTCTTTAAACAATGCTGAGAAAGAGTCTTGGAAGGACGGTTTCAGCTCTTCGAATAAATCTTTCCAATTTTCGTTTAAAAATCTGTTGGTTTGGTCTTCTAGAAGTCTGTCTTGGTCTGGGTTGTTGAAAGTTAGATACATTCTGAAAGAAATAGAATATTTTAAACTGAAAAATGTTAAATTACTTCTTATAAGTTAAATGGTGAATGTGGTACCTTTTGGGTTGGAATTTAAGTTCAACATTTTCTATTGTGTAATATTGTTTGTTGTTTTTAGTCACCGGTTCTCCAGATCGTAAAGCTGCTGTAATATCCAAGTCAACTAGAGGAATTAATTTTATGTTATGAAAAATAGTTACATATGCTGTATATCTACATATATATATAAAAAAAAGTCGGGTTTTCCTTCCTGACCAAATAACTCCAGAACGCACGAACCGATTTCGACAATTTTGCATTCGTTGGAAAGGTCTCGGGCTTCGCAAGGTTTATAGCTAAGAAAATTAATGGTGCCTTAATGCAAATTGCTGGAACTTCACGCACCGTAATTGAAAATTCGAGTAATGACATTAGTAAGAATTATCAGAATTATGCTTGTTAAGTTAACGAGCAATTCTTGCCGCAAAGAATAATAATGTACACGCACTGAATTTAACCATTCAATCAAAAATTGCTGGCGATTTGGTGACATACCAATGATTTCGACTGGTCTTTCGTTTGACTTCAAACGATTGCAATTTCCAGTTTGCCTTGCGTTTGCAATAACAAGTCGCAAGGCCAATCGCTTAGTGTTTGCGGGATAAATTTCAAATAGATTATTTAGAAAATCATTGTTTTTCACATGAGCAGTTATACGTTGCCTGTTCACGAGTTGGAAAACCATCCGCTTTGTTTGTGTTAACGTCAGACCAAAAAACAAAAAATGTGGTTTATCAAAGAGCACTTCAATGAAACGGATAATTTACGGATTCACTTTCATTTACTTAGAGAAGTTCAACTAAAAAACACTTCATTTTTGTAATCGAAATAACCTCATTACTGTTGTGTAATAAAACCATTTTTTTCCTTTTCAAATATAAAACAAACAAAAAATTTCTTCATCTTTCTCACGAAACCATCTGGTGGCGAAACGGAGTTCGTCGGATTTGCTAATATTTTATAGAAAGTAGGCATTTTTTGGAATAAGTAATTGATTTCTATTTACCAAGTGTTAGGTTGCATTTGCCTTTGCCAGTGATTGGAAATAAAAGTATTCGTCCCTTCGAGGTGAAATCTCCATCAAGTTCTACTCTAGGAACAAGGGCTTTGATACGCCAATCTACACGTTCAGATGAAAAGGATCTGGAAAAATAGAAATTGTCAATTTTTATGAAAATACATGTAGTTGTCGTTTAAGGTTTATATTGTGACGATTTAGGATGTTAGGATTAGGAGTCCTTTTAAGAGATCACCTTAGCACCTTACCTCGATCTCTAAAACACTAGTAATTGTCGTTCATTCATTTAATTTATAATTTTTTTACTTACTCGACATCTGAAACTTTGATTTGGCTGAAACCGTGCATGTCACAATTTAAGATTTTAAGTTGAATGCTCACAGAACTGTTGCCCCCTTGGTCAATTGATAATTCGTTTATTCTCAGAGGCTCCAGTGGCAAGAGATTTATTTTTGGATTTCCTGGAATAAAATAAAATATATGAACAAACAAACAAATACAAAGACACAAATGTAATTTTTTTCCTATAAATACATAATTGCAACTGGGTGTAAGTGGCATTGTGCCTTATGACAAGTTGCTTGAATTTCTGATGACAATTTCTCCAAATTCTTTATTTCTTTGAGCTAAATCTAAAATTGTTAATTAGTTTAGTATAATTACCATCTTTCATAATTCTGATGCCTTCGCCAATGGCATTTTGTAAACAATGGCTGTCTTCCATTTTACATCTTGGAACATCTGATGCTGAAAGTAGGAAATTTCTCGTTAAAATGGTAGAATTTACAAGAATATTATAAATAAGTTATTAAATTATTTTCAAGAAATCGTTAGGTTTTTTTTCTGAACTGAAAGGCTCCTTGTTTTATAGAAACTATCTTATTCTTATAGAATAGAAATAATTATAAAATCGTTTCGGGAATATGGGATGACCCTTTCTGGATTTAATGGATTTACTGTTCAAAAAACAATTTAAATTTATTTATTAAACAAAAATAAATTAATAAAAAAACTGAATTAAATATATGTTTTATTTTTCTGAACTAAAAGGTTTTTTGTTTTCTCAAGAAACTATCTTATTCTTATAGAATAGAAATAAATATTCATAAAATCGTTTCCGGTATGTGGGATGTTCTTTTCTGGATTTACTGTTCAAAATACAATTTAAATTTATTTATTAAAAGAAAAATAAATTAATAAAAAAACTGAATTCAATAAAAATTAATGTATCTATTGAATTGATTGCGAAATCAAATATATTTGTTATAATTTTTTATGCCGAAATACTTTAAAGCAAAATATTAGATGAAATTTAAAATTATTTGGAAATTTATAATTTTTTTTGTTTCTTTCAGATATTGTTCGATTCTGTTGTTTCTAGTTAGAATTAAAACTATTTAGAAACTTATACTAATTTATTTTATTTTATTTTCTGTTATTTCTAATAAGAATTCAAGATATTTGGAAATTTGTACTATTTTCATGTAATAATTGGATTTGTTTTAATTTCTATTGTTTCTAATCAAAATTAAAAATTATTGGATTTTGTACTATTTTTTCTGCAACAATTTGTTTTGTTTTGATTTCTGTTGTTTCTAATCAAAATTCAAAATATTTGGAAAATTGTACTATTTTTGAGCAATATGATTTCGATTTCCAATATTTCTAATTAGAAATAAAAATTATTGGTAATTTTTACTAGTTTTTGTACAATAATTTGTTTCGCTGCGATTTCTAATGTTTCTAATTAAAATTAAAAATATTTGAAAATTCGTACTAACTTATAATAAAATGAAATATATTGGGAAAATACTAATTTTCTGGAAATAATTTGATTTCTAATAAATTTCTAATTCTTTTTAATAAAAATGAAAAATATTTGAAAACTCGTACTAACTTATAATAAAATGAAATATATTGGGAAAATACTAATTTTCTGGAAATAATTTGATTTCTAATAAATTTCTAATTCTTTCTAATATTTGAAAAAAAATTTAAAAATATTTGAAAATTCGTACCAACTTATAATAAAATGAAAAATATTGCGAAAATACTAATTTTTGGGAAATAATTTGATTTTTATTAAATTTCTAATTGTTTCTAATAAAAATTAAAAATGTTTGAAAATTTGTACTATTTTTATACAAAATTGTGCTTTGTTTCGATTTCTGTTGTTCCTAACTAAAATTTAAAAAAATATTTGAAAATTGGTGCTGATTTCGATGCGCAGGACGTTTGTTTGGATATTTTTTTACACCTTTACACAATTTATATTTTTTTTATTAAATTTTTTTATTATTATTTTTTCACTTACGCAAATGAGCAGCATTCGCCGCGACCACAAACACCGAAAATACAATTAAAAAATTCATCATAAAATTCAGTAAAACTATTTATTTTAAATAAATTAACAGTATGCTTCAACAATAAACTAAATAGGTAATTTATAAACGAATGCACATGGTAGACTAATTTTTTGACAGGTTTGCTTCATGTATTTATATCGTGAAAAAAAACTTAATAAATTGTTCATAAAATACAAGATCATGACATTGTACTATATCGGTCGTACTTGTACTTTACACATGGATATAAATTTATACATATATAATTATATACACATATGTATAAATGTTTTATTCTAATGTATAAATGTGAATTTTATATAATGTTGTTCTCTGTCATAGAGAATTGCTTACTTGCTTTTTGTATTTTTAGTATTTTAGGCCTTAAACAAAACTGGTTCGACTTGTGTAATTAACGAATTATTTTATACCTATTCCAAGAACGTCAAAAAATATTTAGGTAAATACAATATATATATATATATATATATATATATATATTTGTATAAATGAGATAAGGAGACCTGGATGACTCTTTCAATATTTCAAAAATTGTCATAAAAGAAACAAGTACCAATTTCCTAATATTTTTAACATCAATTTACAAATATTTTTAATTTTAATTAGAAACATTAGAAATCGATATGAAACATTTTTGTATAAAAATTAATATAATCCTCCAAATATATTTGCATACTTTCAGTTACAAACAGCTGATTTCTAGAAATCGAAAAAAACAACAAATTATTGTCAATTAAAAATTAGTTACCATTTAAAATATTTTTATTATTAATTTCCAAAATATTTTTGAATTAATATTTATATAAATATAAAGGAATAAATAAATTACTATAATGCACCAAAGTTAGTACACATTTTTAATTTTTAATTCCAATTAGAAACAACAGGAAAACGAAACAAATTATTGCAAATTAAAAATTAGTACAAATTTCCAAATATTTCTTTCTAAATAGAAACAGCAGAAATCGAAAAGAAACAAATTATTGCACAAAAATAATACAAGTTTGCAAATATTTCTAATTCTAATTAGAAACAATAAAAAAAAAAAAAATCCCGATTTTTTTAAATTCTAATTAAAAACAACAGAAATCAAAATAAAATAAATATTTACATAATAATTAGTACCAATTCCTAAATATTTTCAATTCTAATTAGAAACAATAGAAATAGAAATGAAAGCAATTATTTTCAAGTAGAAATTTTCAACTATTTTTAATTCTTATTAGAAACAACAAAAATCGAAACGCAATCATTTTTGGCATAAAAATTAGTACAATTTTCTAAATATTTTTAATTCTAATTAGAAACAACAGAAATTTAATCGAAACAAATTTTTTCATAAAAATTAGTACAAGTTTCCAAGTATTTCTATTTCTAATTAGAAACAACAAAAATCGAAACGCAACCATTTTTGGTATAAAAATTAGTACAATTTTCTAAAGATTTTTAATTCTAATTAGAAATAACAGAAATCTAATCGAAACCAATTGTTGCACAAAATTAGTACAATTTTGCAAATATTTCTAAGTAAGTTAGAAATTGTTTCTAATTGAAATTCTAATTAGAAACAAAAAAAATCGAAATAAAGTAAATTGTTATACAAAAATTATTGCACAAAAATTATATAATATATAATTGTTAGAAACAAATTATTGCACAAAAATTAGTACAAGTTTCCAAATATTTCTATTTCTAATTAGAAACAACAGAAAGTTAAACTAAACAAATTGTTGTACATTA